TTTGGTTTTTAAATGCTGCCGCTGCACCGTATTAAGAAATCATATTACTGGTTGGTTCGAAATGGGTTGAAATGTTCACATTTCTTCTTTGCTTTACATGCTGATCACTAAAGCGTGCTTTAATTAATATTGCGTTTTCATAAAACGTAAGAGCAAACAAGGGGGATTTTAATTGACAAAAATAATAAAATCAGCACATTTCCAAGCCAACTGCGGTTAACATTGGCACGTCGGCTTGAAAAATATCTCCTTTTTGCTGTAAATAACACACATTTCATAGCTGTTGTGGGTTATGTATGTGTTCATCAGTGCTTGAGAACTGTAACTTTGGGGAGCGGGTCGTAATTGTGGGCTTTTAATGCGGTGCTGTCTGTGGCGAGGTGTTGGTAGGGTCTGATCGGAGCTGCAGCCAGAGCGTTTCTCCCGACCAGCGGCTGCTGGGAGCTGGTCCACGGTGAAGCAGCCCACGCAGCCGAACGAGGGCTTCCCGGCTAAGAGCTGACCGCAGCGGCCCCGACGACCGCGGGCCAGCGACCCGAGAAATAACATGGGGAGTCCTGCTGCTGCCTGCTGTTGTTTGTTTTCCGTAGTAAATACCTGAATATGCAGAGACTCAACAGGTCATTCAGTTGTGTGGTATCATTCAGATGATCAAATGAAATGTTGCAACATTAATATCAATTTACCTGATCTTGATCAATAATCACATTGATGAATTGGTGCATGAATAACTACAGACCCTGCTTCCTGCAGCAGCTTTTTCTGCTCTAGATTTATGATCTGCTATTTGTATATTTCAACGAAAAAGACGGAAATGGCATTAATTATTTAGATTTATTTGTGGATTTTTTTTGTCGATGTTAACCCTGTTGTGTCTCAGTTCATGAAGCTGTTTTCAATGTTTCCCGCGATGCGAGCAGCTGATTGTGCAGCAGATGGCCGCGGACATGATCAATTTCGAAGTGCTAGTTCTGGATCAAGAGAAAGCCTGCTGTGCTGTGCCGATGATTTTATTTTGCGAGGATGGATTGAGGAAGGGGGACACACATGCTTAAATATCGACTGTCGGCAATAATCAGATTCATACTCATAAAATACTTGTTTACATGTTTTGTGTGTGTGTGTGTGTGTGTGTGTGTGTGTAACTCTGCCCACTAATCCGTTACGTATTTTGTTTCTTGTTGACATAAATACAAAAATTATGCAAAAGAAAAGAAGTGAAATAATGTACAAAACTAAAGTGTATGATCCAGTATCGAACCCGCGACCTTCACCATTGCAGGTGAACGCGTTAGCCACTAGACCACCAGCACTAGGTGCTACATCTCCTCGCAAATTCATACCTTTAAAACACTATGAGTGCTGGCAGGCTTTACAGCAACGTATGTAAAATAGAGCCTTTTTTATTATTATAAACTTGTCGCTTCCGTACAAATGTGAAACAATATATCTGACGGAGATTTCTGCGGAGTTTCTGCACTTTCCTGTCAACAGAAACAGACATGCTGTCTGCCGCTGCCTTCCGCCTCCAGGCTTTTTCAGACTAATAACTGAAAACTAAAGACTGCACACGTTAACTGAACAAAGATTACAGCAATACACCACAACTTTCTCGCTACAAATATCGTCAAAACATATTTATGTGCTCAAACGATCTTAGTTTATCAAATTTTCTCTTAGAACAGCCTGAACAGAGTCCGCCATACTTTCTCTGTTTCTCAGTCCTACATGGACCAATCACATAGCTGTTCTGCATTTCTTCATTTGCATGTAAAGGCCGGATTTGCTCACTAGCTAACTAGTGAGCAGTACAGCGGTCGAACTAGTTAACATGTTACACAGAATGCCAGCCAAGTGTGTATTTATTCAAATTCCACAAATTTACTAGTTTTAGGGGCATTTTTCTGCAGCTAGTTAACTAGTGACAGTATTTTGTGTTCACTACTTAACTTGTAAGGCTCAGTTTGCCCTCTATAAGCTAGTGAGAAAAAATATAATGCAGATATGCTCACTAGTTAACTAGTGAGTGCTTCCTGTCCCATTACAAGTGAACTAGAAAGGCCAAATATGTCAACTAGTTAACTAGTGAAGGTAAATTTGTCACTAGTTAACTAGTAAGAACACATTTTTACATAACAAGTAAACTAGATTGCTCCAAAAACAGCAACTAGTGTGCGTCTTGTGCGCACTAGTTAACTAGTGAGCATATCTGCACCTCACTAGTTAACTAGTGAGCATATCTGCACCTCACTAGTTAACTAGTGAGCAAATCCGCACCTCACTAGTTAACTAGTGAGCAAATCCGCACTTCACTAGTTAACTAGTGAGCAAATCCGCGCCTCACTAGTTAGCTAGTAAGCAAATCCGCACTTCACTAGTTAACTAGTGAGCATATCTGTGCCTCACTAGTTAACTAGTGAGCAAATCCGCACCCTACTAGTTAACTAGTTGGCGTTTTGGGGCCCACTAGTTAACTAGTGAGCATATCTGCACTTTACAAGTTAACTAGTGATGCTTTTTTGCACCTTACTAGTTAACTAGTGGGTGCTTTAGGGCACACTAGTTAACTAGTGAGCAAATCTGCACCTCACTAGTTAACTAGTGAGCAAATCCGCACATCACTAGTTAACTAGTGAGCATATCTGTGCCTCACTAGTTAACTAGTGAGCAAATCCGCACCCTACTAGTTAACTTGTTGACATTTTGGGGCCCACTAGTTAACTAGTGAGCATATCTGCACTTTACAAGTTAACTAGTGATGCTTTTTTGCACCTTACTAGTTAACTAGTGGGCGCTTTAGGGCGCACTAGTTAACTAGTGAGCAAATCTGCACCTCACTAGTTAACTAGTGAGCATATCCGCACCTTACTAGTTAACTTGTGGGCGATTTGGGGCCCACTAGTGAACTAGTGACACTTATTTTGCACCTCACTAGTTAACTAGTGGACATTTGTACCCTCTCTAGTTAACTAGTGAGCAGTTCTGCCTTCACAAGTTTACATGTAAGTGTCACACTGAAGCCACTACTAGTTCACTAGCTGAGGTTCCTCTGGCCAGCATGTTAACTTGTGTGCCGCATGCAAATGTTTGGGGTGGGATTTTACGAAATTCCGCACTGTGATTGGTTGTCATATTTTATTTTGACACAGGGAGCCAATAGAGAGTCTTAATTTGAGAAATTCTCCGCCTCCTAATTAGAATTCTGCGCAACTAGCTAGCTAGTGTGAATGTAGACTTGAACTAGTTTACTAGTATACATTTATGTCCTCACTAGTTAACTAGTTTGGACAATGGATGCATCAACTAGGTAACTAGTGAGCCTGCTGCCATCAACTAGCTAGCTAGTGAGCCATTAATGGTTCACTAGTTAACTAGTGGCACTGACCTACTCCAACTAGTTAACTAGTTAGGAGTTAAGCCTTCACTAGTTAACTAGTGTGCACATTTTGGCCATCAATAGTTAACTAGTGAGACACAAAAAACCTTCAACTAGCTGACTGGTATGCACTTTGGCCTTTACTAGTTAACTAGTGAGCCATTTATGTGACAACTAGTTAACTAGTGAAGCCAAAATGTGTTCACTAGTTAACTAGTGCACATTTATGTCTACCACAAGTTAACTAGTGTGCACATTTTGGCCATCACTAGTTAACTAGTGAGACACAAAAACCTTCAACTAGCTGACTGGTATGCATTTTGGTCTTTACTAGTTAACTAGTGAGCCATTTATGTGTCAACTAGTTAACTAGTGAAGCCAAAATATGTTCACTAGTTAACTAGTGCGCATTTATGTCTACCACAAGTTAACTAGTGTGCACATTTTGACCCTCACTAGTTAACTAGTGAGACAAATACCTTCAAGTAGCTGACTGCTATGCATTTCTGCTTTTACTAGTTAACTAGTGAGCAGTTTTTGTGTCAACTAGTTAACTACTGAAGCCTAAATGTGTTCACTAGTTAACTAGTGCGCATTTCTGCTGTCACTAGATAACTAGTGGGCACATTTTCACCCTCGATATTTAACTAGTTGACACAAACATGTCTAACTAGTTAACTAGTGGACAGAAATGGCTTACATGTTCATGACAATTCTGGCTGATATCCTGATATCAGAATAAATGCTCATTTGGCTTGCCATATCCACCTGTTTCACTTTCTGCTAAAGCGCCCCCTGGCAGGTGAAGGAAAATCTTCAGTAAAGCCGCACCTCATTATAAGCCGCATGGTTCAAAGCGTGGGAAAAAAGTAGCGGCTTATAGTCTGGAAAATACGGTAATTCCTGAAATGGAAAAACTCCAGACTTCAGCTTTGAAATGGAAAAATTAAGTTGTGTTTTCCAGTTTTGTAAGTTAAAATGTATAAACGTCCAACCAAACAGCAGATTATTTAATTTTCCAGGGGAAAAAAATGCTAATTCCTGACTTTTCCAGGTTTACAACATCTTAAAGGCTGGTTCGATTAAAACTTGGTGCTAATATAAACTAAATATAAATGGAAGTTTTAGTATTAGGCTGTAGATCCCATTATGTGTCAGAGCTCACATAGCGTCAGACAGCAGATGGTGAGTTTCTCCCACCATAAAGACTAAAAATGGCATTATTGGGTAATGTAGTGGAAAAGGTGCCTTGTTGGTATCTGATCAGTGCATTTATACTTTACCTTTTATTTGTTTGATTATAATCTTGTAATATAACTCCACACATAACCCAGATATAAATAATTGCTGATCATTATTTTCCGATTTTCTAGAATTGTTCTGATTGTTTGAGAATAGTGTCTAGATGCACTGATTGTTTTAATTTTCACCTGAGTGATGTTGCTTTTATTTTCTGTAAAAAGTCTGGTAATAAAAAATAAATGTTGAACATTTTTAAGTGTAATCATATTTCATTTAGAGGTTAGTTATGAAGAAGAGTTTGTCCACGTGTTGAATTGCTCCTCTTTAAAACGTAAAACTACCTGAAAAGTTGCCAATGATTTATTCTTGTCTTCCACACTAGATCCGATGGACGAAGACGGCTGGCAGCATTTCAGATCGCTTCCAGGACTCGAGCGTGTTCAACGAGACGTTGCACATTTCCAAGATCCTGAGGACCCAGGGAGGGCGCTACTACTGCAAAGCTGAGAACGGCCTTGGCTCTCCAGCCATCAAGTCCATCAGAGTTGATGTCTACTGTGAGTCTCACACTCTCATTGTTCACTGATAGTTTTGCTCAGACTGCACAGAAATCAAGTCAACCAAACAGCTGCTTTCTGCTGAGTGTGGTTACTACAGCTTTCCTAAAACTGACCAAGCCCCCACAATGCGGGTCAAAAATTGAAGCAAACCCGAAACTGAAATAATTTGCAGTTCCACCCTCATCCGCTAGGGGTTGGTGTCAGAAGCGAGCAAATCCTCATTGACTCCCATGTTAAAAATACCAATTTCAAAGCAGAAAAAACATGTTTACAGCCTGGTTCCTAAACATGTTTTTTGTTTAAATGATCTAGTGTACACTCGTGACAACTCTGAGGGGGGTGCATTTTTTTTCTCACTCTTCTGTTTAAGTGTATTAAAAGCCTAAAATTCTGTATAATTAATGAGCATCAGACCCACGTGACCGCAGAGCTAGCTCTGGGGAAAGGCCTCAGCCTGATTCTCGGCCTCGCCTGAAAACTGTTCGGTCATTTTCAGTCTCTAAACTGAGACCATTAGTTGTAGCGTTTGTGTATTCTTTTTTTGGATATTTTTTGTGCAATTGTTGGACAAAATGACTTGTTGTGGCATTAATTGCACTAATAGAGCGTCCAAGGAGTCTCCACTTCATTTTTTTCGGTAAGTAAAATTATATTTATGTATTTTAGGTCACTGCCGAGCTGAGCTTAGATTTTAACATGTACTGTTTAACCATGAAATTTAAATCTAATAGGGTAAAACCCAGTGCATTTAACATAATGCTGCACTTTAGAAAATGGGTTGAAATATAACATGTTGATGGAGCTGGGTTCCCACTATCGGCTTGTGGAGCTCTAGGGAGACCTCTGTTTTCCACCCGTTTCACCCCTCCCCGCAGCTCGGCGCATCTCTGTCTGATCGCGGCTTCTGTCTGCTGCGTGGGCTGCCGGCTTGTGGAGCTCTGGAATGGAAACCTTTCCACCCGGTTGTCCCTAGCGGCAGTTCTGTGCATCTCAGATCGCAGCGGCGCTTGTCTGCAATGCGGCTGATGGCTTGTGGAGGTCTCAGGAGACCTCTGTGTTCCACCCGGTTTTACCCAGCGGTCAGCCCGGCGTATCTCTGACTCAGAAGCTCTGGTGTTGTGCACAGTTAACTCCGGTTGTAGCTAGGTTGCTACCTCCGTTAGCTTAGCTCCCACCTCCACGTTAGCTTTGGCTTAGCTTCAGGTTAGCTTGTAGCTAGTTCAACCGGGTGTCGTCAGTTGATCCCAGCCTTACAGCCCCACCCTCAGCTCCACCTCTCTTCCCTTTTGTGGAATTGTCTGGGCTTCACGGAACATGTGACACGGTCAAAATGGCGGTGGTGGCCACCTCCCATTTTTCTTCAAAAACGTGTTATTGGAGCCTATGGAAACCCATTGTCCAATATTTATATGTCGATGAAACTGACTGAATTCCTCAGATAAACTGTCTTCAGATGTGACTATCAGAGTCTGTATCAGTGATGTGCTCACAACCGAATTGTCTTTTGGATCTGATTTGCAACACCTATGATCCTGCAAATGTTTCGTTTTGCAGTTTGAAACCATCTCAGCATTTTAATTGTCAGAGAAATCCCAATCCAACAAACCCCGCAAGCAAATTTGCCTTTAAAATTAATTTCATGCTCTTATCAAAAAACCAAAAAGAAGAGAGAGATATTAATTATCTTTTTTTTCTATTAGGACAAACTGTAAACAATGAGATGAAGCCTAGATGCGAAAGAATGGCAGCTAACGGCCCATAGCACTGTTTGATGCGTCTCCTGCAAATGAACGCTACTTATTTTCAGGGAGGGATCGGATTGGAACGGAGGCGGTTTGCCCCGCTCTCCTCAGAATGTTAATTAAAACACTTATCACATTGACACTGCCAGTAGGTTCTACCTCTCTGTTTTATATCTGCACAGGAGCCGGGATGTTCCATTAGCATGTGTCAAAGAAAGCAGTGATTTATTGATATTGTTTTATTGATTTGGCATTCCTTCACCTATTTCACCTCGGCGGTGGAAACACGAGAGCAGCGGCCTCGATCAACGCTTACCTTTTTATTGCTGTTTGTGCAAACGCAGCCAAATGGAGTTTATGCCCAACAAGAAATATGTAGGAAAGCTATGATTGTCTGCATAAGGAAGACGACCTCAGGTCGTAACGCTTCAGCCTCAGGAAATTCTACTGAGATCAATTTAAAATAGCGTGTTTAATGAAGACTTCAGTACTTGTTCCTTTTTTCACTCCAGCTTCTCCTTCATCAGAGATCTTATTTTTTTACTTATTTTAATGCCAAACATATTCAGGAAAAAACTCCTTTTGATGACCCCCTCAGTGCTTAATTTGTTGAATATCTTTGTTAGTCACAGAGGAAAAGAAGAAGTAGTGGAGCAAAACTGTTTAGCAGGAAATGATGACGCTTTTGAAACAGCTTGCAGTTAAAACTAACTTTTATTTATGCAAACAGTAAAATGTTATTTATGAGCAAGGATTCATCATTCTAGAAGAGTCTGTGTTACTATTACCTTGTGTTTCCTTCTGTTCTCTCCACTTGAGATTCTGCAAGACTCATAAAAAGCTGCTGCTGGTGGCTGCAGCTGAACCCTCTGGGTTTTGTTTTTAGATTTTTTTTCTCTCCTCTACCCTCACCAGCATACCTCGCTCTCACTGCAGTGCTGTTGTTAACAAGAAATTCTGTGAGAAAAAGACATTTGGTCTAATTTGGACCTGAAAACACACAAGATGCACAAAACCAAGGCCTGTAATTCTTGTAGAAACATGCCAACAAACTGCGATCAGGCTAAGTCACAGTACTGTGATGATAACATCAGTGTGTGTGTGTGTGTGTGTGTGTGTGTGTGTGTGTGTGTGTGTGTGTGTGTGTGCGTGTGCGTGTGCGTGTGCGTGTGTGTGTGTGTGTGTGTGTGTGTGAGAAAGAACCAGTGGCACGAGGAAAGCAAACACGTGGACTTATGAAAATAAGAGCAGCCATTGATTGAATCTGTATGTTTATGTGTGTTAATCCTCTTATTATGAACATCAAATAGCCAGTTGCTCATAAAGAAATCAGTATTGTACAATGAAAATTAAAGTCCCATTAGTCATCACACACTGGTGTGTTACATCTTTGCATTTGACCCATCCCTGTGGGGAGTGGGGAGCTGCAGCAGTGGCTGCGCTCAGGCCCTATTTGTTGGGTCCCATTTTTCAAGTCTTTGGTATGACCCGATCGGGTATTGAACCCTGATATCCCAGTCTTGGGGCGGACACTCTACCACTAAGCCACTGAGAAGGTCAAATGAAAATGAAAATGATTGGACAACTAAACAGTAAACCTGTAACATAATAACTACTGATGATGGTAGAGTCTGACCGCTGCACAAAGCCTCCTCCAGCACATCCCAGAGATTCTCATTGGGGTTAAGGTCTGGACTCTGTGGTGGCCAATCCATGTCTCATGCTCCCTGAACCACTCTTTCACTATTTGAGCCCGATGAATCCTGGCATTGTCATCTTGGAATGCGGGATTTTCGAGATCTTGCGATACAGTCCGAGCAATAAACGCGGAAGTTAGATCCAAACACCCGTTGTGTGGGAGAAGCATCGAAATGAACTGTTTAATCTGCCCATCATTTGTGTTGAGAGATCAGCAGTGTTTGGATCAACAAAGTGTGACTACTTTGATAGTGGAAACTGTATTTATGGCTTACTTTTGTGCATTTAAACTTCAGCCGCCACTGATAGTTGTTAAAAGTTGTTAAACCTGTGCATATGAAACAAAAAACGCCTTTTGTTTATCGATGTATTGTGAAAAACGGAAGTTGTGCCCGCTCCTTTTCCTGTTGGACGGTTGTGATTTCTGTCCATTTACTGCGGAGGTGCTCCGGCGTCCGGCGAAAATAGGATCGATTCTATTTTTGCCGGACGCCGGAACAGAGGGCGGCGCACGGCGCCGCACTGCCGGAGCACGGCCGCAGTAGTGGAATTGCTCTGATTGACCACAACGGGAACGATTTTGCTCCGGCGTTCGTGTCGGAGCGGAGCGGAGGTAGTGGAATTTGGGGGTTAGTCGTTCCCTCCTGCCAGCTGCTTCACTCTCAGCTGTGAACCGCTCCAGTGAGAGCTGGAGATTCCGTTCTGATGAAGCCAACAGGACCACATAATCTGCAAAAAGCAGAGACCCGATCCGCAGGCCACCAAAATTGACCCCCCCACCAGCTTGGCTGCACTTAAAAATCCTGCCATAAAAGTCATGAACAGAATCTTGGCTTTGGCCAACTCTCACCAAAAACAAGCTCAACTTTAAATCAAGTTTGTTTTCTGTGGAATTAAAGCTCTGGTGTTTATGTTTCGGAGGCTAGACGTCTGTTGAAAGAAACGTTTTACCCATTATTACTCATGATGTGCAAATGTCTCATCACTGATTGTCTAACGGCAACCCAACTCTTCCACTGCGTCTGCTTGCTCTTCTTTCTTGGGTAAAAAAATGCAACATTTAGGTTTTATCTCCACATTTAACAGGCCTGAACATGTGGTGTGGAGTTTCTAATGCTAACGTTAGATTACACTAGCTGAGATACTCTGTGCTCTCCTTCCTGCAGTCGCAAGGTGGAAAAAGCCACGAAACGTGAAACGTAGAACGGACTGACTTTTTCCTGACCTGATCGTTTTGCCGTCTATTTCCTTACTGTGGCTAACGCAGATGATAAGATTTGACGAAAATGTTCACATTCAGAGCAACTCGGAGTGATTCAACATATTTCAACGAGACTTTTAGATGTTTCTATGTAAAAAAAGTGCCAAAGTTGGACCCGCATTAAAACCAGAATCACAACTTAAACATGACAGCTAGGTTTAGACATCCACAAAGCCTTTTGTCTTCAGGCCAAGTTTGGTGAGACTTTAGATTTTATTTGGGTGAGAACGCGAAAAGCTGTTCAGACGTCCCTTCAGCTCTGTAAACCCTCTCAGCATTATGACACATGACTGAAC